GGGAGAAGAATATTTTTAATTACCAAATGACACCCAATGGCAAATTTTTAGATTATATACCCATATTAAAAAATTTTACTTACTTGTATCATTGTATACTCTATGTTTATGATTATACTAGTTGCAAAGCCCGTTCTGAAATCAATACAATGAGCTCTAGCAAGATGTGAGGTGGTGGCCCACAGACAGCCCCTCCCCTCTGCCACTGCCACTTCTCCCTCAGGCCCCAGACCCCAGTGTCGAGGGGGGAGAGAAGGCTGTGCAGTGTCACTGCCCAGCCACCTCCCGGAAGCCCCCAGCCACCTCTACTGCCTTCCTTCCAGGCAGCAGATGCCACAGAGCTCGGCGACTGACGACTCGGGGGCGTGCAGCTTCTGGAGGTTGCCCTCGCCATGTCCTCCCTGTTGCCAGCAGCCACCCACTTACCAGCCGCCTGGCCACCCACAGCCGGCTGTGGCTGATGGTGGCCACCGCAGTGCTGGCATGAGCAGCCTCATTGCCCTGACCCTTGCGGCACCAGAGCGCCGTCCCTGCCTGCCACCTCTACTGCCCTCTGCCCCGGCGGCTCACGCAGCTGAGGTTGGTGAATGAGTGGTCAGGGCCTCCGGGTGGCTGGATGTGGACCTCGCCGTTCTTGTTGGCTACCTTGGCCTCCAGCAGCTGCAGCATCTGACCCCTCTATTGCCTCACAGCATACTGAGGCGGAGACATTGGGTGCCAGTTCTGTGGGCGGGATGCAGGTAACCCAGCCAGTGGCCAGGGACACCTTATGAGTGGCAGATCCGGGAGCCAACTGATTCGGGAGCACATCGAATGTTGTCACCCAAAAATGCAATTATTTATAAGGAGAGATGTTATGAGAAGTTTTAATTGTATTTTTATGAAATATCTGTAAGCCGCCCTGAGCCCGCCTTGGTGGGGAGGGTGGGGGTATAAATTAAATAAATAAATAAATTTTATTCTGTAATGACCCTACTACTGGGCCCTTAAATGTTTTTAACCATTTGATAATACGTGTATTTTTGATAATATTCAGGTTGTACATTTGTTTTTAGTGATCGCTCCTAGAATTTGTTTTTAACTGTTATGTATTGGAATTGAATCATCCCTGATTGAATCACCCTAGAGACGGGCTGAGCTTGGAGCACAAGAACAATAGCTGACCAGGGCTCTAGAATAAACCAAGTAGTAATGTTTTGCAAATAGCCTATCACGGGGAGTGTGTGTGTGTGGAGTGGGGTGTTTTGCATGCATGTAAGAAGGTCTCCGGCCCTGCTAGAGTTGTCTTAGAGTTAAGCTGAAATCCCTAAAAAACTATGAGCTGATCACTATATGCGTCTCGAACCCAGTATATTTCACTAACTGACCTTTCTGGTTCTTGATTCAAACTTTTAATCGAAGAAGCATGCAAAGGTCTTGGGCAAGACCCCCAGATTGAAAGTTGCACAGTTCATCTAAAGTCTGTGGAAGAGAAAAATCAGTGCTGGGTGGGGAGCAAGGGCCCTTGGAGGATTCAGGATTCTAGATCACTGGTTCCCGAGAACTGCAGCATGCATTACCCACCCTCAGCCCTGACAAGAGTGTGGATTAGAAATGGATGCTGAGTGTCAAGCGAGAAATTGCTCACAGAGCTCCCATACCTCTTCTGATCTAGCGAGGAGGGCGTTTTCGTAGTCAATTCTATAGTGGATCGCAGCAGCACGTCCCGGCAACAGAAGAGAAACGTCCAAATTCAGGTCCTTACGGAGCGGGATGTCCATCTGATACTGGGCAAGAGCTTGGAACACTAGGACGGTTGACTGCAATGGGAGGGAGAAGACAGAGCAAGTGAGGAACCCCCCTGCAGCAGAACTCTCGACACAGCCCTTAGCCCTGAGGGAAGGAAGGTCCATGGACACAGGACGCTGGGCGCATTGTAGCGCACTGAAGCAGCTTCATGCTTCAGTAGGGCGCAAGCTGAATGCATGCATGCTGGTGTCCCACAGGAGCTTCCTGCCGTGCATGCACAAACAAGTGGGTGCAGCCACCAAAACTTTAATCCAGATCCAGCCCAAAATGCAGAGTTGCCCTGAATGCATGAATAGTTTGGTAACCAGAGGAAGTTGTTCCAAAGTATTAATTGGGGAATGGCTGGGCTCTTTTTGTAGCAGGAACTCCTTTGCATATTAGGCGACCCCCCCCCCTAATGTAGCCAATCCGCCAAGAGCTTACAGTAGCCCCTGTAAGAAGAGCTCTGTAAGCTCTTGGAGGATTGGCTACATTAGGGGTGTGTCGCCTAATATGCAAGGGAGTTCCTGCTACAAAAGAGCCATTGTTGTTGTTGTTGTTGTTGTTGTTGTTATTACTATTTATGGCTCTTTTTGTAGCAGGGACTCCTTTGCATATTAGGCGACACCCCCCCTAATGTAGCCAATCGTCCAAGAGCTTACAGTAGCCCCTGTAAGAAGAGCTCTGTAAGCTCTTGGAGGATTGGCTACATTGGGGATGTGTCACCTAATATGCAAGGGAGTTCCTGCTACAAAAAGAGCCCATAAAAATTCCCTCTCTGATCCCCAAAGGCCCACCCTCTAATTGCATTATAAAGTAATATGGGAGGGGTTTTTTGCCCTCCTCTTTCTTTTCAACTGGGGAAGGGGGACAGTTAGGAGAGGAAGGTTTATGCCCCTCTTATCCAGTGTGAAACTCCCTGAAGGAGAATATTACAGGATGAGGCAGTACAAGCTGCAGTTTGGAGCCGGTATAGCTAGGGTGGCCAACTGCAGGTTTGGAAATTCCTGGAGATTTTTTTTTGGGGGGGGGCTAGGAAAGGCAGGGCCGGGGGAGGGTTAGACAGCTCAGCAGGGATGTGACGACATAGATTCCACCCTCCGAAACAGCTGTCTTCTCCAAGGGAACTGATCTCTGTCTTCTGCAGATGAGCTGTAATTCCAGGAAGTCTCCAGGCCCAACCTGGAGGCTGACAACCCTAAGTCAGGCCCAGTTCTCACCCAGCTGGTAAAATTGTGTCCTGAGCCTGTACCATTTCCGAATTGAGATTAAACATTCCCCGGACTCAAATGCTCATCCATATAAAGAAGAGAAGAAGAGATTGGATTTATACCCCGCCCTTCCCTACCCAAAGGTGTCTCAGAGCGGCTCACAATCTCCTTTCTCTTCCCCTCCCCACAACAGACACCCTGTGAGGTCGGTGGGGCTGAGAGAGCTCTGACAGAAACTGCTCTTTTTCGAGAACAGCTCTTATTAGAACTATGGCTTGCCCAAGGTCATCCAGCCAGGTGCAAGTGGAGGAGGAGTGGGGAATCAAACCCGGTTCTCCCAGATTAGAGTCTGCGCACTTAACCACGACACCAAACTGGCTCTAAAGAATTCCTTCCATGTAGAAAACCAGGCTCTCAGGGAAACTGCCAGATGCGTGAACCCTTCTTCCTGACACACTAGTTTTCTTACTGCAAGGACCCTTTTTGTGGACAGAGGAGCAGTGCGTTATGTGGCCCTCTGCCTGCAGTCTGCAGTGGCTAGGGTTGTCGAAGTCCAGGTGGGTACAAAGCACAAAAAACCACTGGCTAGAGATGAACAGAAATGTATAAAAATAATATTTAATGCCGAGTTCAATAATACAGTCATATCTCTCCTTATACATAATTGAGTAATGGTCCCACAATATTCTATGCACTCCAAAATCAGTTGGCTTCGTGATGTGTCAATCACAAGGTGTCTCTATCCACTGGCTGCGTTGCCCGAGTTCTCTCCCACCCACTGCAGCCTAGGCCACTCTTCTCTGATTGGGCCAGTGTTTCAAGGTGATTTGCATATGGAAGCTGATTGGACTTCACTCCATTCCACACCTCAAACCCCCCCCCCCCTCCGCAAGACAGTTGGCATTGTCAGTTGCATATGGGACCTGCTGTATTCTGAGGTAAAATATGTCCTCACTCACAACACATCACTTCCCCTTCAAAAGAAACAAACCCAATAACACAATCATGCCACACCACAAAAAAGACAGATCACCCACAAGCAGAATACCACAAGGCAAAAAATGATAGGGAAAGGTGCCAGCAGTCACCCCATTACTGTCACAGATATGTGGCAGCCAGGGCTTCAGAGCACAGTGGGGGCTGCTGGTGGTGGGGAGATGGAAAGCTGATCAATGAGGGGGGAATGAAGGTGGCTTGATGCTTGGCTGGGAAGTAGATAGGGTTGCCAACTCCAGATGGGAAAATCCTGGAGATTTGAGAGATGGAGCCTGGAGAGGGTGAGGTTTGAGGAGGAGTGGAGCCTCAGACAGGTACGATGCCATAGACTCCGCCCTCCAAACCGGCCATTTTGTAATGGGGAACCACTGTTGCCAGTCTCCAGGTGGGGGCTGGAGATCACTCAGAATTGCAACTGCTCTCCAGATGGCATTGATCCGTTACCCTGGAGAAAATGGTGGCCTCTGTGTCCTTATACCCTGCTTAGGTTGCCATGGCAAATTGATTCTGAGTGCCCACGGCCTTGGCACTCTCCCAGAGCCTCTTTCTAGCGCTCATTGTATTTATTTCCACAATGGGCCTTATTCCTAGTTACTATATAAAGCCAAGGTGTTCTTACAAGAAACAACAGTAATACAGAAGAATAAAGTCCCAAAAATTTCAGTGTGTCTCACTCCTGTTGTATTGTAATTCCATAGTGCAACTTGACATACATTCATCAAGGTGGACTATGTCAGGTTGGTCTATGGAATTACAGTACAACAGGAGTGAGAAACACAGGCATTTTGGGGACATTATTTTTCGGTATTACTGTTGTTTCTTGTAAGAACACCTTGGCTTTATATAGTTACTAGCTGCAAAGCCCGTTGCAAAGTCAATGTAACGAGCTGCAGCAAGACCATGGGGGTGAGGGCTGATGCCATGAAGCCTGTGGAAGTCAGTGTCAACCTCCTCGTTGGCCAGCCTCTCCCTCCTGCTGGCGGTGGCCGCATGGTGGCTGGGCACCCAGCCACTCACAGGCAGCTGGCCGCTTGCTGGGTGTGGTATGAGGAGGCCCCAACCGCCGGAGCATTCCTTGCAGCTGGCTGCCTCCAGGCAGCTCGCTGGCTGCGCAGGTTCCTGAAGGTGTCACTGGCCAGCCATCTGCAGGCGTCCACAGTCGAGAATGACCCCTTTTGCCCGCTGGAGCATCCATGGTGCCCGTCACCTCCCAGCATACTGAAGCTGAGAGGCCAGGCGCCGGTTCTGTGGGCGGGTGGGCAGGACTAATGCAAGGCATCCACTGGTACATGGAGACAGCCTGTGAGTGACAGATCTCACAGCGTATTGATTTGGGAGTGTGTCGGGAGTCCACGACCAAAACAGCATTATATATTATGATATGACTGCATTATTGAACTCGGCATTAAATATTATTTTCATACATTTTTGTTTATCTTTAGCCAGCGGTATTTTTGCTTTGTGCCACTTCATGTATGCTGGTTCCCCTTCTGTTTTGGTTTTAAACTCCAGGTGGGACCTGGAGATCTCCTGGGATTACAACTGATCTCCAGTTGACACAGATCAGTCCCCCTGGAGAAAATAGCTACTTTGGAGGGTGGGCTCTCCCAAACTCCACCCTCCCCAAGCTCTGCCCCCAATAATTCCAGAAGTTTCCCCACCTTGAGCTGGCAACCCTAATCCACTCCTGCCCCCAAAGGACCGTGACGCGGCCACTGACCTGTGTGTGCCCATAGGTCCCTCCGTAATACTTCTGCTGGGTCAGCCATTTTACGATGGGGCCAGCCTCCTCGAACCTCCTCAGTTTCAGCAGGGTCAGAAGAGCGTAGGAGGTGCCTTCGATGTTGTAAGTACGAGCGTTAGTCTCTTCCCACCGATCTCCACCTAGATGTCAACAGAGCAACGTGGTGGTGGGAAATGCTGTCAAGTTCCAGCTGACTTTGGGGCTATGGCTGAGTGGCAGAGCATCTGCTTGGTGTGCAGAAGGTCCCCGGTTCAATCCCTGGTGTCCCCAGCTAAGGATCAGGTCGTAGGTGATAGGAAAAGCCTCTGCCTGTGAACTTAGAGGGCTGCTGCCAGACTGAGTAGGCAACTCTGGCTCTGATGGATGAAGGGTGGGACTCAGTATAGGGCAGCTTCACGTGACTTATGGAGACCACTGAAGGGGTTTTCAAGGCAAGAGATGTTCAGAAGTGGTTTGCCATTGCTTGTCTCTAGGTAGCAGCCATGGTCTTTCTTGGTGAACATAAGAACACAAGAGAAGCCGATGTTGGATCAGGCCAATGGCCCATCCAGTCCAACACTCTGTGTCACACAGTGGCCAAAAACACCAGGTGCCCTCAGGAGGGCCACCAGTGGGGCCAGGACACGAAGTCCTCCCACAGTTGTCCCCCCCCCAAGCACCAAGAATACAGAGCATCACTTGCCTCAGCCTGAGAGTTCCTATCTATACCTTGTGGCTAATAGCCACTGATGGACCTCTGCTCCATATAAGAACATCAGAGAAGCCAATGTTGGATCAGGCTAGTCCAACACTCTGGGTCACACAGTGGCCAAAAACACCAGGTGCCATCAGGAGGTCCATCAGTGTGGTCAGGACACTAGAAGCCCTCCCAACTGTTGCCCCCTCCCCCCAAGCACCAAGAATACAGAGCATCCCTTGCCCCAGACGGAGAGTTCCTATCTATACCTTGTGGCTCATAGCCACTGATGGACCTCTGCTCTATATGCTTATCTAATTCCCTCTTTTTTAACTTTATTTATAACTTTTAAATTTTAACAAAACTGGAACACCAAGTAAGGTAAATACAATACAGAGCATACATTGAATCAAGGTGATTTGCTTGAACAAATAAGAGAACCATTGGTAATAGAGAAGAATCTAATAATCATTAGAAGCTCTAAAGCAATGAGTGAGAAAATAGCTATTTTCTCCATTGTGTAAAATTCCCATATCTGCATATACCATAGATGTAAGGTTAATGAATTGGTACTCTTCCAATTTCTGGTTATAACAGATTTAGCTGCCATTAGCAAGAAGGATAGAGAAGAATCTAATTTGGGAATATGAATGACTTGATGACTTGTATTTTTTCAATCCATGTCAGGAGAGGTGATGTTGTTGAGTTGGGTATGGCTTCTAGAGACTTTGCTAATGTTGTATAGTTGCATTTAAACAAGTCAGGTAGTTGAAGAGGAATAAGTATTCCCAGATATTTCCAACAATTCTTAACCCAACTAAAACTATAGTTTTGTTTGATGTATTTTTAATGGTTTTCCATTAGATGGATAGGGTAAAGAATAGTTTTAGAATGGTTGATTCGAAGACCCGCAACAGATCCAAAAGATTCTAACTGAATGTAGTTCAGGCAAGGATTCTTCTGGTTTTGTTAAAAATAAAGTCAAGTCATCAGCAAAGAGGCTCAGTTTGAAATGGCTATTACCTAGCTGTATGCCGTGAATCTGGTGGTTAGAACAAATAGCATGTGCTAACGGTTCAATGGCTAAAGCGAACAATAATGGGGAAATCAGGCAGCCTTGTCTGGTGCCTCTAGACAAATTAAAATTCTTTGAGCAGACCCCATTTGTTCAGATGCAGGCCACTGGTGATTGGTAGATGGTTTTAATCAGACTTAAAAATTTGGGGTCCAAAGTTCATGCTCATTAAAAGAGAATTCAGATACTGAGTTTCAACCCTGTCAAAAGCTTTTTCAAAGTTTTTCTTCACCCAAAGAGTGATTAACACATGGAATTCACTGCCACAGGAAGTGGTGGCGGCTACAAGCATGGACGGCTTCAAAAGGGAATTAGATAAGCATATGGAGCAGAGGTCCATCAGTGGCTATTAACCACAAGGTATAGATAGGGGCTCTGGGGCGAGTGATGCTCTGTCTTCTTGGTGCTTGGGGGGGTCAACAGTGGGAGGGCTTCTAATGTCCCGGCCCCACTGGTGGACCTCCTGATGGCACCTGGTATTTATGGCCACTGTGAGACACAGAGTGTTGGACTGGATCAGCCTTTGGCCTGATCCAACATTGGCGTTTCTTATGTTCTTATGTACATGCTTTTTTGTGCCTTTAGTTTCTGCTTCTTTTTGTTGTTGCTATTTTCCTGATTCCCTCCCACCCCAGTTCTTTCGAGACCACTTTTACTTTGATCTTTTTTCTGGAAGCTGATTTTGAGTTGCCCTTTCCTCATGTGTAACGTTTCTGTTCGTTTTTCTTGTTCGTCCACTCCCACCCTTCCCTAGGCCACTTTTTGATGGCTGGATGGTCATAATTGGTAAACCAATCCCTTCCCCCCAAAGATGAATGGTTTAATTTTTAATATATTTTAAAATGGCATTAAAATACTGATATACTGATGTTGTCGTGATAGGTTAAGCAGGTTCTCTCATTTCCCAACTTTCCTTTAAAAGGAAAGTAAGTCTCTAGCATCCTCCCTTGCAGAGGTATGCCTTTTTCCTTATCTCTCCATGAGGGAAGGGCATAGAAACATACTGCTTTTAAAAATGCAGCCAACATATTGATATATCAATATACGCATGCACAAAAAATAAAACTGGGTGGGTCGGTATTGTGAGACCACCTCGGGATGGCAGCCTCCAGGCAGGACCTGGGGATCCTCCGCAATTACAGCTCATCTCCAGACTACAGAGATCCGTTCCCCAGAAGCAGGGGTCATTTCCTGCAGGAGCACGCAGGAGTGGAGCTCCGGCAGTAAAGAACCCAGGGGGCGGGCACATGCATCAAGCCCCACCCCCTGCTCCCAGCAGCCCTCAGTCAGAGCAAGAAGCAGCCAGGTAAGTTGAAGAGCCCCCCCCGGCCCCCCGGTCCAAAACAGTCCAGTGGCACCTTTAAGACCAAGTTTTATTCAGGTATAAACTCTCCCTCCTCTGCGAGGACAGATCTGAACGTTCCCCAACTCCAATAGCTAGCAATCCAAAGCAGTCCAGTGGAGCCTGAGCAATGGGTATTGCCTTCTGACACACTTCCAGTGATGTCAGGGGGTGTGGCATATGCAAATGAGTTATGCTAATGAGTTGTGCTAATGAGCTCCTGCACCTCTTTTTCTACAAAATGACCCCTGCCCGGGAGAGAATGGGTGTTTGAAGGGTGCCTCACTGAGGTCCTTTCAGGGTATTTAGCCAGGTCACACCACACACGGCTTCATAAGAAGATAAGTGTTCATTTGATGGATCCAGTACTAATGATCACGTATACAGCTTGTGTCAGGAATACCCTACATTATAATTGGGCCTGACTTATAGTGAAATCAAACTCCCCCCCCCCCATGAGCCGAAGCCAATGGATATGATTCGCGCACGCGGGCTAAAGCTCACAAGCGAGCAGCAAAGCGTAAAAGCCGTTAGCTTTCCCAGACGAGTTAATTGCAGCTGGGAACCAAAGCAAGGTCAAGCATAGAGTCAGCGCACAGAGGCTGGACAGGGATGAGCTGGGAAAGAGGAGGAGGTGCACCCCTCCACATGCCAGATCCATGACAGGGCTACCTGACAGGTCCCCGGGCTCCATCCCCAAATCGCCAGGATTTCCCTAGCCTGGGCTCTCAACCCCACCCGTCCACCTCCCGCCTAGCAACCCTAATGCCTCCAGTGACGTCACCAATGATGACAGCACCCTCCTCCCTTGAAAATCCTGATTATTTAAGCGATATGTGGAAGAAAATAAACTGACTCCACAACTGTGAAAATGCAAAGAAGAGAGAAGAAGAGATTGGATTTATACCCCGCCCTTCACTACCCAAAGGAGTCTCAGAGTGGCTTACAAACTCCTTCCCCTTCCCCTCCCCACAACAGATACCCTGTGAGGTAGGTGGGGCTGAGAGAGCTCTGACAGAAACTGCTCTTTTTCAAGGACAGCTCTGACAGAACTACGGCTTGCCCAAGGTCATCCAGCAGGTGCAAGTGGAGGAGGAGTGGGGAATCAAACCCGGTTCCCCCAGATTAGAGGCCACGCACTTAACCACTACACCAAACTGGCAGAGGGAGAGCAGACAAAGGCCCGTGACTAAAAAGATTCCAGCGGTCGTGGATCGACTGCCAAGACAATCAGGGGTAAGTTGAATGTGCGGAAAAGCCCGTGAAACTGGGGAACCCTCTAGGGTTTTTTTACCCTGATCCTGAAGACCCTGGAATGCATTGAACCCGGGCGGCCAGTGGAATGGAGGGGAAGAGAGTGGCTCTCTGGCATACGGTTTTTGGTTTGGGAGGTGCATTCTCCAGGCCTTGCATGCTTTAGCTGCCCCCCACTTCAAATCAGTCTCTCATTCTGCTGCTTGAATGAGCAGCATGTCCTCAGAAACCACACTACGTTGTTATGGTATGGAATGAATTGCAACGAACGTACCTCTCGATGCTCTCATCAGAACCCTGTCGTGGTCCAGCCTCCCAGCAAGGACTAAGGCATACGAGGTGAGGGCCACGGTGTAGGGCCTTTCCAGCGTCTCGTACTTCCTGGCCAGGAACTCAGCAGCTTTGGCGATGCTGTTGTCTAAGCTCTGAACAGGAAAGCAAAGCGATCTGCATGTTAGAAGACTCCAGAGACCGAGCGTCAGACATTATGCATTTGATTCTGAAATAGATTTCATTGCTGCCTACTTTTTCCCCAAGTGGTGAGAAGTTCTGGAGGGTCCCTAGGCACCTGCTGCTCCTTTGTACCATTTGCTTTTAAGAAGAAGAAGAGGAGGAGGAGGAGGAGGAGATTGGATTTATACCCCGCCCTTCACTACCCAAAGGAGTCTCAGAGCCGCTTACAAACTCCTCTCCCTTCCCCTCCGCACAACAGACACCCCCCCTGTGAGGTAGGCAGGGCTGAGAGAGGTCTGGCAGAAACTGCTCTTTTTCGAGGACAGCTCTTGTCACAACTACGGCTTGCCCAAGGCCATCCAGCCAGGTGCAAGTGGAGGAGTGTGGAGTCAAACCCGGTTCTCCCAGATTAGAGTCCGTGCACTTAAACCCCTACACCAAAAATAAGTATGCAAGCAGAGCACAATGGGCATAAACAAGCACTCCTACAGCAGGCAGCAAAGCCCCAGAGAGCAACTTGCCAATTCCTCTGCGTCCCTTTCTAATGGGGTGGGGACCATGGATGACATTTTGGCTGTCTGCTGAACTCCATGATCGCAACCCTGGCTGCTGGCGAGGGTGTGAAATAACACATTCAGCACCCTTTCCCACATGTGATTCCCCATCAAAGGCCCCGAATGCTGCGGAAGACGGGCGCGCCGGCGATCCCACGCCTCCCTTGCTGCGGAGCTTCAGGTAGGTAGTACTCTTTTCTAGGTTTTTTTTTGATGCGCGGTTTCGCCCGGAAAGGACGGATCGGGGAGGGGTGCGCTCTGCTTCCCAGATGTTGCGGTGTGATTGCGCCGGTTTGATGCGCCCCCAATCTGTCCCTCTTGCGGGGCAAAACCTTACATGTGACCGGGGCCAAAGAGGTGCACATGTATGGAAGTCTCTTTCCATGCACATATGGGGTCAAGTGTGTGTGTGGAAATAACAAATGGAGGAGAAATTAGCAAATGACTTTATTTAATTCATTTAAACCCCATCTTTCTCCCCAATGGGAATCCAAGGCAGATTACACTAGTCTGGTGTCGTGGTTAAGTGTGTGGACTCTAATCTGGGAGAACTGGGTTTGATTCCCCACTCCTCCACCTGCACCTGGCTGGATGACCTTGGGCAAGCCATAACTCTGGCACAGCTGTCCTTGAAAAAGAGCAGTTTCTGTCGGAGCTCTCTCAGCCCCACCGACCTCACAGGGTGTCTGTTGTGGGGAGGGGAAGGGAAAGGAGTTTGTCAGCCGCTCTGAGACTCCCTTGGGTAGTGAAGGGCGGGGTATAAATCCAATCTCCTCCTCCTCCTCCTCTTCTCCTTCTTCTCCTTCTTGTCCTCCTAACAACCTTGAGAGGGTGTGACTGGCCAAAGGTCACCCAGCAAGCTTCCATGGAAGAGCAGGAATTCACACCCGGGTCTCCCAGATCCTAGTCTGATACGCTAAACTGCTTCACCATGCTGGCTCTCAGTTAAGTGCACTTCATTTTGGTAACACCATAACCCGCAGAAACAATGAGAGTCTAGGACTGCAACTCACAGCTCGCTTTTTGAGCAGGGGGCGGTCCCCAACCTTTCTGAGCCTGCAGGCATCACTGGCATTCAGACGCGGCATGGAAGGGTGCAGCCACAAAATGTCTGCGGCAGGAGGCGGACCCAGCCACAAAATGGCTGCGGCAGGAGGCGGAGCCAGCCACAAAATGGCTGCCAGAGCTGACCTTCAGTCACACAGTGAAGATCCTTGTGCTGTGGTGGCGGCGACTGCCAAAGCAATGTTTTTTTAAAAATCTGCACTGCCAACCCAATCTCCAGCGGCCAATCAGAAGCCCTGCTGGGCAAAAGCCCCGCCTCGCCCCACCCATTTTCTAAAGCACTTGGTGGGCACCAGGAAAGGTGGTGGCAGGAGCCCACGCTGGGGACCCTTGTTTTAGAGCTTACTGAAACTCAGATCCTGGCCACAGTAACATGGAGGAAAGAACATAAGAACATAAGAGAAGCCAATGTTGGATCAGGCCAATGGCCCTTCCAGTCCAACACTCCGTGTCACACAGTGGCCAGAAATACCAGGGGCCATCAGGAGGGCCAGCAGTGGGGCCAGGACACTAGAAGCCCTCCCACTGTTGCCCCCTCCAAGCACCAAGAAGACAGAGCATCCCTTGCCCCAAACATAAGAACATAAGAGAAGCCAATGTTGGATCAGGCCAATGGCCCTTCCAGTCCAACACTCCGTGTCACACAGTGGCCAGAAATACCAGGGGCCATCAGGAGGGCCAGCAGTGGGGCCAGGACACTAGAAGCCCTCCCACTGTTGCCCCCTCCAAGCACCAAGAAGACAGAGCATCCCTTGCCCCAAACATAAGAACATAAGAGAAGCCAATGTTGGATCAGGCCAATGGCCCTTCCAGTCCAACACTCCGTGTCACACAGTGGCCAGAAATACCAGGGGCCATCAGGAGGGCCAGCAGTGGGGCCAGGACACTAGAAGCCCTCCCACTGTTGCCCCCTCCAAGCACCAAGAAGACAGAGCATCCCTTGCCCCAAACATAAGAACATAAGAGAAGCCAATGTTGGATCAGGCCAATGGCCCTTCCAGTCCAACACTCCGTGTCACACAGTGGCCAGAAATACCAGGGGCCATCAGGAGGGCCAGCAGTGGGGCCAGGACACTAGAAGCCCTCCCACTGTTGCCCCCTCCAAGCACCAAGAAGACAGAGCATCCCTTGCCCCAAACATAAGAACATAAGAGAAGCCAATGTTGGATCAGGCCAATGGCCCTTCCAGTCCAACACTCCGTGTCACACAGTGGCCAGAAATACCAGGGGCCATCAGGAGGATCCAGCAGCGGGGTCAGGACATTATAAGCCCTCCCACTGTTGCCCCCTCCAAGCACCAAGAAGACAGAGCATCCCTTGCCCCAGACCGAGAGTTCCTGCCTATTAGCCTGGTGGCTAATAGCCACTGAGGGACCTCTGCTCCAGATGCTCATCCAGTTCCCTCTTATAAGAACGTAAAAGAAGCCAATGTCGGATCATGCCAGTGGCCCGTCCAGCACTCCGTGTCACACAGGGGCCAGAAATACCAGGGGCCATCAGGAGGTCCAGCAGTGGGGCCAGGTCACTAGAAGCCCACGCCAGAACATCAGGAGCAAGAGTCCAGCTCAGATGAACAGAGGATGCACCCCAGAGCTGATAGGGTGGGCTGCTGTCACGTTTCAGGCCAGAGGGGCAGGGAGCAAAAACAGGCCGCTGCAGGGAGAGACAGCTGGGACGTGGCCGCATCCTTAGAGGCGCTGAGCACAACAGACACTTACGCCGATTTGCCCACTGCAGATTCCTCTGGACTCCAGCAGGGCCACCAGGACGAAAGCCGTTAAGGACGCCTCCGGTTCCGCACCACTATAGCCTCCCTAGGAAGAAGGAAGAACCCAGCCCTTTAATGCAATGTTAATTAAAACAAAAACTCCTAAGCCCCCCGAGAACAGTGACGGTGCAGGCACCGCAAACAGGCTCCGAGCCGGAAATTTTCTGTTAGGGGGAGCAACTGTTTTGTTGAGGGGGCAGTTTCGCAAAGTGGAGAGTGGTCCACTACAATGCTCCCTCTAAGCTGTGGAGTCTTTTGAGCATACATTCTACTTTGTGAGCGACTGGCATGAAAGCTGTGAGCCAGCGATTTGGCTATTAGCTTGCTCTGGAGCCCTCCTTCCTGAACAAAGGCAGAAATGTGTGAGCCGGAGGCTAAAAAACTATGAGCTAGCTCACACTAACTCAGCTTAGAGGGAACACTGGTCCACTATGACCATATCCTCAGTAGTGAAATTCCCCACATTGACGTTTTTTTTTTAAACTGCACATTATGTGACATTTTCCGCAGTAGGCTTTTTTCTCACCAGGCCAAAGTTTTCTCCCTACCCCGCGTTTTTGGAATCCCCAGTTTTAGCGAGTTCTGAGAAATGCGGGGTAAGAAAGAGAAAACTTCGGGTTTGCGCTTGGTGGGGAAAAAAATCTACTGTGGAAAATTTCACACAACGTGCAGTTTTTAAAACGTCAATGCGGGGAATTTCACTACTGTGGAAATGGTCTATGGGTCTGCACAGAACTGCTGCACTTATACGTCCAAATAATTAAATCAGGGAGTATATTACAAAAATATTTACATGTAGAACATATCTATTATTCTAACAGGTAACGGACAACATGTTGTCAAACTGTTCAGGTCTGAAGTTTAATCAGACGTGGTCTAAGAGGTACTAGGCAGGCTACTTTGGGTTAGACCACATGAAAGAAGGGACCGGGATAGCCCAGGCGAATCTGCTCTCATTGGACATCAGAAGCTAAGCAGGGTCGGTCTTGGTGAACATTTGGATGGGAGACCACCAGCGGTTCCCGTGCAGAGGCAGGCAAGGGCAACCCACCTCTGAACATCCGTAAGTCCTGATGAGAAGGGGCCAGGTTGGGCTGCCCAGGTCGGGGCTCGACTATAACTCCCAGTGTTCCCTCTAAGCTGAGTTAATGTGAGCTAGCTCCTAATCTTTCAGCCTCCAGCTCACACATTTTTGCCTTCGCTCAGGAAGTATGGCTCCAGAGCAAACTAACTGATGCAGCAGCCAAATCGCTCGCTCACAACTTTAATGCCAAGTAGCTCACAAAGTAGAATTTTTGCTCACAAGACATCACAGCTTAGCGGGAGCATTTTTTTTAAACAACTTTTTATTAGGATAATACACATTTCACATATATCAACTTCAATCTATATCCTTTTCTTCTTACTCCCCCCCCCTTTCATAGGCTTTCAACAGCGTTCCCACCACCAGCTCAAATCTTAAATTCTTACATGTTTCTAATCCGTTGTCATATAACTATAGGTAATTAATGTTCAATTATTATCATTATAAGTCCATTTCTTTTCTCTTTTAAATCAACTTAATAATTTTCAAAGCAAATCAAATTGTCTTTCACATCCCAATACTTCTCTAAATAGTCTTTAAAGCTTAGCGGGAACATTGACTACCACTACAGAAAGTTAGCAGCAAGACTGGCGGGTCCGCATCACCAATATGCTCCATTTAGTGAGCTTCTTGCACGCCACCAGCTGGCAACTGCCGTCAGCGGAAGGCGAAGACCTCCGGCTCAAACACACAACAGCAATTCTTGCACTGCATTTTTCAGAGTTAGGAACTTGGAAAGCCCAGGACTTTACCCGGTCAAGTCACGCCCACAGTGTAAATCAAACATACCAACATCTCTCCGTGGATCACGGGGGCGTCTTCCTGGAACATTCCATCCGGCTTTTGCTTTTCCAGAATCAGCCATTTTATAGCTCCGCAGATGACCTGGGTGTCGATGTTTGACTTGATAGACTTAGCCATGGCAAAGACTTTTGCGACGTATGCCGTTAGCCTGAAAGGAAGGCGGTGTGTCAGCCCAGCCTGCTCCAGTTTCTCAGGGTAGTGAGGAGGCGGGGATGGCAAGGTGATACGTGGGCTACGGGTTTGATTCCCCACTCCTCCACTTGCACCTGGCTGGATGACCTTGGGCAAGCCGTAGTTCTGATAATAGCTGTCCTTGAAAAAGAGCCGTTTCTGTCAAGAGCTCTCTTAGCCCCACCTGCTTCACAGGGTGTCTGTTGTGGGGAGGGGAAGGGAAAGGAGTTTGTCAGCCGCTCTGAGCCACCTTTGGGTAGTGAAGGACGGGGCCTAAATCCAATCTCTTCTCTTCTTCTCTTCAAGTTCCCAGGGCAGAACAAGCCATGGTGCTCCCATGGTGGAATGGACCACCATGGCTTGTTCTACACCACGGGTCCCTGACATGGTGCCCATGGGTGCCATGATGCCCACTGATACCCTTCCTGGCGCCCACCAAGTGTTTTCTGAGAGTGGGTGGGGCCATCTGGGGCTTTAGCCCAGTAGAACTTTTGAATGGTCACTGGAGCTCTGATTGGCTTTGCAGATTGAAATAACGTTGTTTCAGTCACCGTGCTGGTTTTATTCCCTCTCACTCCTCTTTCCCAGGGCATTTTTATTCATTACCCCTCTTCTCCCCTGCACTCGGGCTTTCCCTGTGTGTGTGGCTCCGCCTTCTGCTGCAGCCATTTTTTTGCTGGCTCCACCTTCTGCCGCAGCCATTTTGTAGCTGGCTCCCTCTCCTGCGGCAGCCATGTTGTACTTGCACCCACCGCCCTGTGTCAGAATTCCAAAGGGGCCCACGGGCTCAAAAAGGTTGGGAAGCCCTTTTCTTCACACATCACGAGGAGACAAAAGAGCCATCCTCATTTTTTTCTTCAAGGGAAAGGAGGAAAGAAGGAGGTCTGGAGCCAGAATATAACCCGGCAGAATAAAACCCGGATGTTGCCTGTGCTCTTTGAGAAGAAGAAGAGAAACAATTGGATTTATACCCTTCCCTTCACTCAGAGTCTCAGAACAGCTTACAAACTCCTTTCCATTCCCCTCCCCACAACAGACACCCTGGGAGGTAGGTGGGGCTGAGAGAGCTCTTTCAAGAACTGCTCTTTCAAGGACAGCTCTTGTCAGAACTACGGCTTGCCCAAGGTCATCCAGCCAGGTGCAAGTGGAGGAGTGGGGAAAAACCCGGTTCTCCCAGATTAGAGTCCGCGCACTTAACCACTACACCAAACTGGCTCTCTTTAAGGAGATCGCAAGAGCCAGAAGGGTCAGCTCCTGAAAAGCTGGGTGTTATGTACGTGGACCGCCTCCAGGGGTCCGCGGACAGGCCAGAGCTTGGATCCGAAAACAAAGGAAACTTCGGATCCTGGATTCCCCAGCCCCAACCAATAGCCACCTTGGCGGGACATTCAAACCCTCCAATGGGAGTGGGAGGGTTGCTGGTGGATATGTATATAGTTGGCCCCGTTGGCCGTTAGAGGGAGTCTTTGTCTATGTGAAGTACAATAAACGTGTGCTGCAGCATGTCGTTGTCCGAGTCCTCCATGCGGCGAACCCAGTACTTTTCACTGGCATTGCAAAGTGGGTACGAGTGTGAGCTGGGGAGTGGCCCCTAGTTCAAATCTTGCTACTCCCGACTGTGACCTTGCTGGTTGTTTATACGCAAGCTGGCAACCCCTTTGTCTGCTTTCCTGCAAAAATTGGGGAAGTAGCATTGATCTGCCTGACCAGGCTGTTGTGAAGGTAGAAACCGATTCATGATATACTATCCCATGTATGGAGTCAAAAGTGAGAATAGACGAGGTCATTGTGAGGCAGACAGAAAACAACGATCTTTTCCGCATGCTCGAGTTACTCCTGATTTTCTTGGGAGTAGGTCCACAAGCACTGGAATTGGTTTGGGAAGGATTCTTCCACATGTCTGCCCTCCCTGTGCATTTTACCAGTTGCGGCGTCAGTTTATTTTCTTCTGCCAACGGCTTAAATAATGAGGATTTTCAAAAGACGGCACAGTCGTCATCAATGTTCCTATCGGTGGTGTCACAGCCCCCCCCCTTTTTACAAATGCCTTAAAATATCGGTATCACACTGTAGTGTTGTAATGGTAGTTTAAACTGGTTCTCCAAATTCCCAGCTTTCATTTTTAAAAGTCTCTAGTAGGAATGGGCATGAACGTCATCGCAAACCTAATTTCGTCACGAACATCCCCCGGTTTATAATTTGTGAGCCTCGGTTCGTGCAATCGTGTCTCCCACAAACTGCCCACGAACTCCCATATATTTCATGGAGGTTTGTGAGGTTTGTGGTGCCAGTTCGTGAGACAGACACGCTGGCGCAGATGGATTCATTGTCAAGGCAACAGACGATGAACCTCTGCAGCCCTTCCGCAGCCCTGTGGGAACTCAGCCTCTCTAAATCCAATCCTCACCAAACTTGGAGGGCAGGTAAAGGAGAGTCAGCTGGAGAGTTGCTGCAGGTTTGGTGTCCTTAGCCCACAGGGGGGGCATCCTACTACACCACAAACCTCAGAGACTCACAAACCATGAACCGGTTCATTAAACAGAAAGGCTTGTGAAGGTTCGTGAGACTCCACAAACCACGAACCTTCATTTTCCTGGTTCATGCCCACGGCCGAATCTGCGTTTGCATTTTAAAATAATTTTTGTGCTGCTGTGACGCCGTCTTTCTCTATGCTTGTTTGAATGTTGTTTGGAGAAGATTCTTTTAAAGCAGTGCGGAGGCGCAATGACAGTGGAGCCGCCCCGAAAGGACGATAAACATATGTGGACGTTCGAAAGTATGCTAGCACTCTTGAGGTGTGAAAACGACACCAAATGTAGAAAGCTTTTTTGAAGACGGAGTCAGAAGGCTGGGACACCGGTGGGAAAGACAAATGCATTTTCTTTATCATTTTGCTATCTGCTGTTAACATAACATTTTCCAGTTCGGTTATTTTACCATTAAATCCCACTCTTTTGTCCTTCAAATATATTGATTCCAGCTGTACTTTTTGCCACCAGGACAGATGTTCTGGTAGCTTAAGATTGTCCTTACTGTCCAAAATGTCCTGATACCTCAATATTTCTTCTCCTGTATAAACATTCGGCAGCGTAAAGGCCTCTAATGGTGTTATTAGTCTCGATCTTTTAGTATAAAATTTTTTATGAATTCCGTCCCAAACTTTAAGTAAAGAGGCTCTCAACCAATGCTGTTTAAAATACTTTTGGGACTTTGCTTTCTCATACCATAAAAATGCATTCCATCCAAGTAACAAATCATGTCCTTCAATTTGTAACAATCTTGTATCTTCAAGAGTGACCCACTCTCTAATCCAAACTAGTGCCGCAGCTCTATAATATAGAAGCCAATTTGGGACTCCAAATCCGCCTCGCCCTTTCACATCCTGCAACATTTTTAACCTTATTCTCGCCTTCTTTCCTTGCCAGATGAACTTAGTTGTCAGTTTATCCAATTCTCTAAACGACGCTTGATTCTGCAATATAGGTATAGTTTGAAATAAAAACATCCATCTTGGTAATGTATTCATTTTTATTGCTGCCATCTTGCCCATCAAGGACAATTGCAGATTTTTCCACTTCTCCAAGTCCTGTTTCGTATTTTTTAACAACACTTTATAATTTTCTTCGTATAAATCACTGCATTTATTTGTAACTATAATTCCTAGGTATTTCGTTTTCTTTACTATCTGACATCTTGTTACCCCTTGAAGACAAATGCAAATTCCGCCATGCATCCCTAGTCTCTTGCTCTTTCTCTCATGGAGATATAGGGAAAACAGCATATCTCCGTGATGGAAAAGGCTAGAGTGTTACTTTTTTTAAAGAAACGAAAGCTGGGAATTCAGGGAACCAGCTTAAACTATCATCCCAACTCTACAGCATTATATCAATGTTTTAGGGCTTCCTCCGGGGGAAGTAATCTCTGTAATACGGAGATCAGTTATATTTTAAGGAGATCTCCAGGCCCCACCTGGAGGTTAGCAACCCTAAAAGGGCAGGATTTGTGAAGGAGAGCCTGGAGTTCTTCCCCCGTTGCCTGGCATGCTTCGATCCTGCCAGTGGCCTAGGCCATCAAGAACCCCCTTTGCTACCGGCCTGGGCACGGCCACACTTACCAAGTGCTAGATGGGCGATTAGTAAATGCAGCGTAGGAGTTGTCTGATTTCTTGTATACCAGTTGCTGTGTGTAACCTGGAAAAGGAGGAGAAAGCAGGAAGCGATGAGATCTTGGCCTGGCTTTTTCCAAAGCACGCATCCCCACCAGGTGGAATCAGCACCTCTCCCCCTGCAGAGCTCCTGGTCTGAACTGGCAGGGGGGCTTAGTCCAGGGGTCCCCGATGTGGTGCCCATGGGTGTCATTATGACCTTTCCTGGTGCCCGCCAAGTGTGAGGCCAGGTGGGGCCAGGTGGGGCGCTTGGCCAGCAGGGCTCCTGACTGGCTGCTGGAAGTCTGATTGGCTGGGCAGATTAAAATAATGCTATTTCACAAGCACCAGTTGCCACCACGTTGTTTGCTTGTTTATTTATTTCATTGGACTTTTAGCCCTCCCTCCCCTGCAAAGCAGGCTCAGGGTGGGTTACAACATTCTAGAACATACAAAGATTAAAAATATAATCAAATATGTATATATATATATGTGTGTGTGTGTATGTATATATTGTCAGCGAGCTGCCATTTCCTTGGGACAAGTCTCGTCCCTTTCTCATCCCCGCCCCCTCCCTCACTCCTGTAGTTGTTCTTCTTTTCATGTTGGGCATCTGTAACTGCCAAGGTTCTCCAGCTGGTGTGATGGGGTGTTGTGTCTTTACGCTCTGGCTTGTTTAGGTTTCCCGTGTGAACTCAACTTGTGTTTATGGAACTGGCCGTTGCTGTTCTCAGGCCGCTTCGCGCCTTTTCTAATCTGTAACCTAACGAGGGAAATGAGCTCATTGGTTTAAACCTTGTTTGAAGTTCCTTTAATACACCTTCCCTGGGTATTGTAGTTATTCCTAACAATCTCTGTTTCCCTCACTCCTGTAGTTGTTATTCTTTTCATGTTAGGCATCTGTAACTGCCAAGGTTCTCCAGCTGGTGTGATGGGGTATTGTGTCTTTATGCTCTGGCTTGTTTAGGTTTCCCGTGTGAACTCAACTTGTGTTTATGGAACTGGCCGTTGCTGTTCTCAGGCTGCTTCGCGCCTTTTCTAATCTGTAACCTAACGAGGGAAATGAGCTCATTGGTTTAAACCTTGTTTGAAGTTCCTTTAATACACCTTCCCTGGGTATTGTAGTTATTCCTAACAATCTCTGTATGTTCATGATCAACCATGCTTTGGAAATAAATCTTGCTTCTTTTTGAACGTGGATCTATTCTCCTGATTTGGGATCTAACACAAGGTCAGTGTTGTCTCTTGTGACTGGCAGCAGCAGGCCAAGGATGCCTTTCCCATCAACTCCCGCCTGGTCCTTTGCACTGGAGATGCCGGGGACTGAACCTGGAACCTTCTGCATGCCAAGCAGGTGCTCTTCCACTGAGCCACGGCCCCCTTTACAGCTCTCCAGGGTCTCAGGCAGAGGTCTTTCCCATCAGCACCCGCCTGGTCCTTTTCACTGGAGATGCCGGGGACTGAACCTGGAACCTTCTGCATGCCAAGCAGGTGCTCTTCCACTGAGCCACGGCCCCCTTTACAGCTCTCCAGGGTCTCAGGCAGAGGTCTTTCCCATCAGCACCCGCCTGGTCCTTTTCACTGGAGATGCCGGGGACTGAACCTGGAACCTTCTGCATGCCAAGCAGGTGCTCTTCCACTGAGCCACGGCCCCCTTTACAGCTCTCCAGGGTCTCAGGCAGAGGTCTTTCCCATCAGCACCCGCCTGGTCCTTTTCACTGGAGATGCCGGGGACTGAACCTGGAACCTTCTGCATGCCAAGCAGGTGCTCTTCCACTGAGCCACGGCCCCCTTTACAGCTCTCCAGGGTCTCAGGCAGAGGTCTTTCCCATCAGCACCCGCCTGGTCCTTTTCACTGGAGATGCCGGGGACTGAACCTGGAACCTTCTGCATGCCAAGCAGGTGCTCTTCCACTGAGCCACGGCCCCCTTTACAGCTCTCCAGGGTCTCAGGCAGAGGTCTTTCCCATCAGCACCCGCCTGGTCCTTTTCACTGGAGATGCCGGGGACTGAACCTGGAACCTTCTGCATGCCAAGCAGGTGCTCTTCCACTGAGCCACGGCCCCCTTTACAGCTCTCCAGGGTCTCAGGCAGAGGTCTTTCCCATCAGCACCCGCCTGGTCCTTTTCACTGGAGATGCCGGGGACTGAACCTGGAACCTTCTGCATGCCAAGCAGGTGCTCTTCCACTGAGCCACGGCCCCCTTTACAGCTCTCCAGGGTCTCAGGCAGAGGTCTTTCCCATCAGCACCCGCCTGGTCCTTTTCACTGGAGATGCCGGGGACTGAACCTGGAACCTTCTGCATGCCAAGCAGGTGCTCTTCCACTGAGCCACGGCCCCCTTTACAGCTCTCCAGGGTCTCAGGCAGAGGTCTTTCCCATCAGCACCCGCCTGGTCCTTTTCACTGGAGATGCCGGGGACTGAACCTGGAACCTTCTGCATGCCAAGCAGGTGCTCTTCCACTGAGCCACGGCCCCCTTTACAGCTCTCCAGGGTCTCAGGCAGAGGTCTTTCCCATCAGCACCCGCCTGGTCCTTTTCACTGGAGATGCCGGGGACTGAACCTGGAACCTTCTGCATGCCAAGCAGGTGCTCTTCCACTGAGCCACGGCCCCCTTTACAGCTCTCCAGGGTCTCAGGCAGAGGTCTTTCCCATCAGCACCCGCCTGGTCCTTTTCACTGGAGATGCCGGGGACTGAACCTGGAACCTTCTGCATGCCAAGCAGGTGCTCTTCCACTGAGCCACGGCCCCCTTTACAGCTCTCCAGGGTCTCAGGCAGAGGTCTTTCCCATCAGCACCCGCCTGGTCCTTTTCACTGGAGATGCCGGGGACTGAACCTGGAACCTTCTGCATGCCAAGCAGGTGCTCTTCCACTGAGCCACGGCCCCCTTTACAGCTCTCCAGGGTCTCAGGCAGAGGTCTTTCCCATCAGCACCCGCCTGGTCCTTTTCACTGGAGATGCCGGGGACTGAACCTGGAACCTTCTGCATGCCAAGCAGGTGCTCTTCCACTGAGCCACGGCCCCCTTTACAGCTCTCCAGGGTCTCAGGCAGAGGTCTTTCCCATCAGCACCCGCCTGGTCCTTTTCACTGGAGATGCCGGGGACTGAACCTGGAACCTTCTGCATGCCAAGCAGGTGCTCTTCCACTGAGCCACGGCCCCCTTTACAGCTCTCCAGGGTCTCAGGCAGAGGTCTTTCCCATCAGCACCCGCCTGGTCCTTTTCACTGGAGATGCCGGGGACTGAACCTGGAACCTTCTGCATGCCAAGCAGGTGCTCTTCCACTGAGCCACGGCCCCCTTTACAGCTCTCCAGGGTCTCAGGCAGAGGTCTTTCCCATCAGCACCCGCCTGGTCCTTTTCACTGGAGATGCCGGGGACTGAACCTGGAACCTTCTGCATGCCAAGCAGGTGCTCTTCCACTGAGCCACGGCCCCCTTTACAGCTCTCCAGGGTCTCAGGCAGAGGTCTTTCCCATCAGCACCCGCCTGGTCCTTTTCACTGGAGATGCCGGGGACTGAACCTGGAACCTTCTGCATGCCAAGCAGGTGCTCTTCCACTGAGCCACGGCCCCCTTTACAGCTCTCCAGGGTCTCAGGCAGAGGTCTTTCCCATCAGCACCCGCCTGGTCCTTTTCACTGGAGATGCCGGGGACTGAACCTGGAACCTTCTGCATGCCAAGCAGGTGCTCTTCCACTGAGCCACGGCCCCCTTTACAGCTCTCCAGGGTCTCAGGCAGAGGTCTTTCCCATCAGCACCCGCCTGGTCCTTTTCACTGGAGATGCCGGGGACTGAACCTGGAACCTTCTGCATGCCAAGCAGGTGCTCTTCCACTGAGCCACGGCCCCCTTTACAGCTCTCCAGGGTCTCAGGCAGAGGTCTTTCCCATCAGCACCCGCCTGGTCCTTTTCACTGGAGATGCCGGGGACTGAACCTGGAACCTTCTGCATGCCAAGCAGGTGCTCTTCCACTGAGCCACGGCCCCCTTTACAGCTCTCCAGGGTCTCAGGCAGAGGTCTTTCCCATCAGCACCCGCCTGGTCCTTTTCACTGGAGATGCCGGGGACTGAACCTGGAACCTTCTGCATGCCAAGCAGGTGCTCTTCCACTGAGCCACGGCCCCCTTTACAGCTCTCCAGGGTCTCAGGCAGAGGTCTTTCCCATCAGCACCCGCCTGGTCCTTTTCACTGGAGATGCCGGGGACTGAACCTGGAACCTTCTGCATGCCAAGCAGGTGCTCTTCCACTGAGCCACGGCCCCCTTTACAGCTCTCCAGGGTCTCAGGCAGAGGTCTTTCCCATCAGCACCCGCCTGGTCCTTTTCACTGGAGATGCCGGGGACTGAACCTGGAACCTTCTGCATGCCAAGCAGGTGCTCTTCCACTGAGCCACGGCCCCCTTTACAGCTCTCCAGGGTCTCAGGCAGAGGTCTTTCCCATCAGCACCCGCCTGGTCCTTTTCACTGGAGATGCCGGGGACTGAACCTGGAACCTTCTGCATGCCAAGCAGGTGCTCTTCCACTGAGCCACGGCCCCCTTTACAGCTCTCCAGGGTCTCAGGCAGAGGTCTTTCCCATCAGCACCCGCCTGGTCCTTTTCACTGGAGATGCCGGGGACTGAACCTGGAACCTTCTGCATGCCAAGCAGGTGCTCTTCCACTGAGCCACGGCCCCCTTTACAGCTCTCCAGGGTCTCAGGCAGAGGTCTTTCCCATCAGCACCCGCCTGGTCCTTTTCACTGGAGATGCCGGGGACTGAACCTGGAACCTTCTGCATGCCAAGCAGGTGCTCTTCCACTGAGCCACGGCCCCCTTTACAGCTCTCCAGGGTCTCAGGCAGAGGTCTTTCCCATCAGCACCCGCCTGGTCCTTTTCACTGGAGATGCCGGGGACTGAACCTGGAACCTTCTGCATGCCAAGCAGGTGCTCTTCCACTGAGCCACGGCCCCCTTTACAGCTCTCCAGGGTCTCAGGCAGAGGTCTTTCCCATCAGCACCCGCCTGGTCCTTTTCACTGGAGATGCCGGGGACTGAACCTGGAACCTTCTGCATGCCAAGCAGGTGCTCTTCCACTGAGCCACGGCCCCCTTTACAGCTCTCCAGGGTCTCAGGCAGAGGTCTTTCCCATCAGCACCCGCCTGGTCCTTTTCACTGGAGATGCCGGGGACTGAACCTGGAACCTTCTGCATGCCAAGCAGGTGCTCTTCCACTGAGCCACGGCCCCCTTTACAGCTCTCCAGGGTCTCAGGCAGAGGTCTTTCCCATCAGCACCCGCCTGGTCCTTTTCACTGGAGATGCCGGGGACTGAACCTGGAACCTTCTGCATGCCAAGCAGGTGCTCTTCCACTGAGCCACGGCCCCCTTTACAGCTCTCCAGGGTCTCAGGCAGAGGTCTTTCCCATCAGCACCCGCCTGGTCCTTTTCACTGGAGATGCCGGGGACTGAACCTGGAACCTTCTGCATGCCAAGCAGGTGCTCTTCCACTGAGCCACGGCCCCCTTTACAGCTCTCCAGGGTCTCAGGCAGAGGTCTTTCCCATCAGCACCCGCCTGGTCCTTTTCACTGGAGATGCCGGGGACTGAACCTGGAACCTTCTGCATGCCAAGCAGGTGCTCTTCCACTGAGCCACGGCCCCCTTTACAGCTCTCCAGGGTCTCAGGCAGAGGTCTTTCCCATCAGCACCCGCCTGGTCCTTTTCACTGGAGATGCCGGGGACTGAACCTGGAACCTTCTGCATGCCAAGCAGGTGCTCTTCCACTGAGCCACGGCCCCCTTTACAGCTCTCCAGGGTCTCAGGCAGAGGTCTTTCCCATCAGCACCCGCCTGGTCCTTTTCACTGGAGATGCCGGGGACTGAACCTGGAACCTTCTGCATGCCAAGCAGGTGCTCTTCCACTGAGCCACGGCCCCCTTTACAGCTCTCCAGGGTCTCAGGCAGAGGTCTTTCCCAGGACTCGACTGGCTTTCGAGCAAGGGAACCTTTACCTTTACTATGTATATATATATATATGTGTGCGTGTGTGTGTATATATATAAATATACATATATATAATTACAGTATAATATAAAACTATAAATCTATGTTGGTTCTTTTCTCTCTCTCACTCCTCTTTCCCAGAGAATTTTCCAAAAAATTATCCTTCTTCTCCCCTGCACTTGGCCTTCCCCTGTGTTTCTATGTGTGGCTCCGCCTCCTGTGACAGCCATTTTGTGAATGGCACCACCTCCTACGTCAGCCATTTTGTGGTGGCACCCATCACCCTGTATAAGAAAGAGGAGTCCACAGTCTCACAGTCTGATGAACCCCCCTGTGGTCCTCACCTTGCATTATCTGGTTGACCGCAACGAACCGGCGCTCTACCCCGATCTTCTCCCACTGCCCAGTAGCGTCAAGATAGTGGGTGGCGATAACCGACGGGGTCATAGTGATCATGTTCTGCTCCCCGCAGCCAGAAGGGGTGACGATGAGATGGTTCAGGTTCGCCCCATCAATGGAGTCTTCAACAATCTGGGCCACAGGGTTCCCTGGCCAAAAAACCCCCCAGAAAGTGGGCATGTGGGCAGAAAGACAGGGGGACTGGTGGGTTGAGACGGCATGCTTCCAGGATGCTCAGCAGACACAGTTCTTTGCTGGACTGCCATGTTTCCCCATGTGAATTTAACACCCCCCCCCCCAAAAAAAAAGGTAATTCTAACAGATCCTGATGTCCCAAAGAAGGCCTGGGGAGGACAGGGACCTCAGTGAAGTATAATGCCATAGTGTCCACCCTCAAAGGAAGCCATTTTCTCCAGGGGGACTGATCTCTGCAGTTCAGAGTTCAGTTGTAATTCTGGGAAATCTCCAGGCTCCACATGGAGATTCACTATTCTACCAGGAGGGAAAGCCGGTCATCCGGTACATCAGTGGCTATAAGCCACGAGGTATAGATAGGAGCTCTCGGTCTGGGGCAAGGGATGCTTTGTATTCTTGGTGCTTGGACAGCAGTGGGAGGGCTTCTAGTGTCCTGGCCCCACAGCTGGACCTCCTGAGGGCACCTGGTATTTCTGGCCACTGTGTGACCCAGAGTGTTGGACTGGACGGGCCATTGGCCTGATCCTGGTGGACCTCCTGGTGGCACCTGGTATTTTTGGCCACTGTGTGACAGAGTGTTGGACTGGATGGGCCATTGGCCTGGTCCAACATTGGCTTCTCTTATGTTCACCTATTTCTCCCCTACCCCCCGTCTCTTTTCAGATTACCCAACTCAAGATTGCCAGTAACCCTTTTGCTAAAGGATTCCGGGACTGTGACCCAGAAGACTGGTAAGGCTGGTCTTTCCTTCCTTCCACTGCTAAGGTCCTGGTTGGGAACAGCTCAAGATATGTCCCTGCAACACAAACATGATTGCACTTAGAGGCTGCCCTATAATTCTCTGGGAAACACCTGGAGATTTTGTGGGTGGAACCTGGGGAGGGTGGGGGTTTGGGGACGGGAGGGACCTCAACAATGCCCCGGAGTCCACCCTCCAAAGCAGGCAATTTCTCCAGGGGAACAGATCTCTGCCGTCTGGGGATCAGCTATTCTTGTGGGAGGTCGCCAGGTGCCCCCTGGAGGTTGGCAGCCCTAGGTAGGAGTGACGCAAGCCCCGCCGTGCCTGGCGTCCTCCTCACTGTGGCCTTGCTGGACACCCCACTCCCTCTTTTTGGCCATTTCCTCCCCCGTGGTCCTATTGGCCCATATTTTAAAGCAGCTGACTCTTACCTTGGATGGTAAGCCTGGTCACAGTTTCTGAGTCGGGAACTTGGTCGTCAATAGGTTTGGCGACGACCTTCACCTCCTGGACTCCACCTGGGGGAAAAAGCAGGGAAAGCGGGAACATCATAACGGACAGAACCACAACTGTGTCCACCAGTCTTTACATGCATGTCTCCGTTCAGGGTGTTGGCCAGTGTTTTCCTTGAGCCCGTGAGGAGTCCGTCTGTGGATGGACCACCGCCCAAAGGGGCTGGGAACGGACAGGAGGATATCCTTAGAAGGAAGACTGCGTCGGAATGGCATCAACGTAGGACAGGCCTGCCCCATGTTTCATCTGCTCAGTCAAGTAGGCTTGAGAAGATACCCTTTTTGCCATCCTATGGGTGCAGTACCCTGATCTGGAGTGCCCAGGCTAGCCCCATCTCATCAGTGTTCAGAAGCTAAGCAGGGTCTGCCCTGCTTAGTATTTGGATGGGAGACCTCCAAGGCCTGAAGCTCCACTTAGCCCTAATTTCTTATCTTTTTTTTTAATGTATAATTTTTGTTTAAGGATTTAATAACAATACAAGGTAAGTACAATAGATGTCTGCAGATGAAGTACAAAAATAGGTCAGCAGAAATATTAATGCTTAACTCTGTCCAGGTTGAAGATGCCAGAGAACTATATTACACACTACAAAATATCTCTTAAGGCAACAGCCGTGTAATAAATACATATCTTTTTAAAAAAGTTTAAAATTAATTTTCAGAAAGAGAAAAACAAGGAAAGAAAAAACATACACAGAGCAAGAAAATAGGAAAAGTAAATGACTAACCTACAACAAAGACGAAGCGTATACTCATAATATCAGTTAGCATTTAACATATAGGAATCATTCATTTTTGCACCCATACTAATTACATATCTTTACAGGCAAATTTTAAATCAGTGTTCTGAAAGTAACTTCAGATATTATCTTAGATCTAAGCCAAATAATTTTTCAGGTTCAAGTTTCAAAAGTGTATCATTGATTTGTATAAGGGATTTGCTGGAACTACATCAGATTCAGCCGTATAGTTAATGAGTGAATACCGGGATGCTATAAAAATTTTCATCAAATTTGCTGGAGGAGAGATTGAGTGTGCTGAGTGATATTTTGGACATGATGAAGTGGTCCCAAATACGGTTTTGCCAGGATTGGATCATGGGGGGAAGTCTGTCTAGCCGTGCCGCGGTTACGGTACTTCTGGCTGTGGCTAACAAAGTGTGGATCAGAACGGTCTTACTCTTGTTGCCCTGTGCATCTGGCCAATTGTTTAGGAGTAGTGTTTCTGGTTATATTCGTAATCGAGGAGATACGATGTGATATTTGAGATCAGAATGATTGCATGTGTTGGCACTTCCACCAGCAATGGAAAGTCAGCTAGGCCCCGGTCACACATGCCGGATAACGTGGAGGGAAGGCGTGGCTATTTGCGTGTCGCAATTTGACCCACCCCGAGGTGATCAGACGTGACGGTGGTGTACCGGGTTTCTTCCCGTGGGCGTGTATTCCCGGTGCGCTCCAACGAGGAAGCACAGAGGCAAAAGGAGCGCGCTGGAGCGATCGCACAGAGCAAGTCCGTCTGCGGCCCGTCGTAAACCATTTGAGAGTGGTCTTTCACAGGCACTTTTAAACTCCGCTTCTTTGGCTGACTGCTACGGGTGCAGGACGCTGGCCAGATGTGTCCGTTTGATTGCGCCAGTAAGATCTGGCTGGCATTTGTGAGTATCCCGTGGCAAATTCTGCGTGTGATCGGGGCCCTAATTTCTTATCTGGCAACACTTCAGCTTGTGAGGTCCAGGGCTGCAATCTGACAAGGAACCCTCATCTTTTCACACGCAGCAGGGAGAACAGGGGGTACACACGGCTCATTCACGCTTCTTTTTGTGCTAGCTTATCTCTCGCTTTATATAATCCTCTTAATCCCTAACCAATTATATATAGGTTTCCATCTATTCCAGTGCTTTTCTTCTGATTTGTGTTTTAGCTCTGTATTAACTTTATCCACCTGAAGGGGCAGTTTTTCACCACTGCCTCCGGGTATTACTGCCACCACCGTCCCTGTCTTGGGCTCTGGTAATCTTCGGGGCTCCCCTGGAGAGTTGGGAACTGACCGTTTTGCCCTTATTCTCCTCCTTAGGGAGTCCCCCAACCCACTCTTAGCGTGTCCAAGCGGCTGGGGGAACTATGTGGTACAGAGGGACTCCTCAGGGTCAACAGAAAAAGGATTTATTTTGAAACCACTCCACTATATGCAGGCATATTAACAGAGAACTGAAGAATCAAAATAAAGGTGGATAATAAATCGCTCCCTCTCTCCCTTCACTACACTGATGCCCTGTCTAGATGGTCTGCAGGGCAGGCACACGACTTGCTTTCACTGGAGGAGGTTAGATTAGCACCATGCCCAACATGGCCTCTCTGCCTCCTGCAGGCTCCAGCCGACAGCCTGACGGGCTCCAGACTTCCGGCAGACCGAATGAGGAGGAGACTAGGCCAAGGCCTACCTCAGGTTTGATAGTCCCCTCCTATCTGGCCCACACCAACTTAAACGTAGGTATAAAATGGCGTTTCTCCACAGAGGTAACTAAGTATGGCCGGTTATCAGTGGGTGAGAGACCCTGCGGAACTGAGTAAGATCCTGCAGGGCCCTGATCTCAATAGGGAGCATGTTCCACCAGGTGGGGGCCAGGGCAGAGAAGGCCCTGGCCCCGGTTGAGGCGAGGCGGACATCCTTTGGGCCAGGGACCACCAGGAGATGTTGATTCTTGTTAAGTCCGGCGCTTAACAATAAGTCAGAGAGTGATTTCAGCAAAACTCAGGTTTATTCAGCTCGATAATCGACTTCTCCAACATGGTACAACTCCTCATAGCCCGAACAGCTTCCCATTGCAGCTGCTCGGTATTTAAACATTCCGGGCTAATGTAGCCACACCTACTATACAAGTTCCAACCTATCAGGTTGTTCGCACAATAGCCCAATCACAAACGTTCCCACCACAGACAGTTCAAATGTGATTGGACACAATACTTTCGGCGCGAATCCTAGCCGACGTCTGAAGCTTAGCATAGCTTCTCTATGGGATGATTCACACTTCATCCCCATGCATTCAGGGCAGCATCTGAATACATTACAATTCTCAGAACGTAACGCTCTCTGAGGCATGTATGGGAAGAGGCGGTCTCTTAGGTATGTCGGTCGCAGGCCGTATAAGGCTTTGAAGGTGATTACCAACACCTTGAAGCGGATCCGGTGCTCAACCGGCAGCCAATGCAGCTGACAGAGCGCATGCTGAACGTGAGCCCGCACAGGTGTCGATGTCAGCAGACGCGCCGCCGCATTTTGTACCAGCTGTAATTTCCGGATCGGCTTCACAGGTAAGCCTGCGTAGAGCGAGCTTCAGTAACCAAGCTCAGAAGTGACCATTGCGTGGGTCACCGTAGCTAAGTCCTGGGGGTGGGGGGAGATAGGGCTCCAGTCGCCCGATCTGCCTAAGATGGAAAAATGCAGATCTGGTGACTGCAGCAACCTGGGCCTCCATAGGAGGTATCCAGTGTTACTCCTAGTAACTGGGCCAGCACCAGATGTTGAGATGCCACAGCAGTTAGGCCAAGTTATGGGCAGAGCTAGAGCACAGTGTGGAGACTCTGATGTTTTCCACAGAGCCGACTCTCCCCGCCCCTGTACCTGTATTCTTCCGTCGCTTTCCCTCATTTCCGCAAATGTTTTTGCAGTCCCAGGAGCAAACATGTAGCTTGTCCCCTCGTACTCCTCAGCATCAGATTTCTGTTTCTGGGAATTCCCATGCTGCGCCACAAGACGGGGCAAACTGTGTTTTTGCTCTAGGGACTGCAAAAAAATGAAGGAAAGCGGCGGAGGAATATAGGTGCAGGCATGGGGAGAGCTGTCCCTGAGGAAAGCGCCTGGGAAACAGGGTCCCTGAATGGTGCATGTTATGTTTTCACTGTATTAAATGCAATGTTAAGCTTGAGTTTCAGCCAGGATTCTAAGTTGGAACAATCCTATTGGCTAAAGGTAAATTATAACCAATCAAAGCTGGAGAACTGTGCTGGAGGGAACAGACCTGATTGGACTTTATTGTAAGAATACTATTGGTCCTTAACTATTCCTGGGCGTGGCTACACCAGCCCGGGATTGTTTAAAAGGGAGCTATGCTCCACTGTTTGTTGTTGTGTGTTCTTCTGAAGTTCCTGTTGTTAAATAAAGCTGAAATCACTTCTTACTACGGCGTTGAGTCAATACTTGATAAATGGCAACGAGGATGGGATACTAGGACGGGTAGGCAGCCCCGCTATTCCAACGCTACAATGGAGAACGAAGACGCACACCCGTCCGAACCAGCCG